TCTCTGGGAGAATCAGAGAGAGCTCCTTTGTTGATTCATTCCTTTTCTATTCTTAGCTGAGCAGCTTCTGAACTTTCCTCTCTATTCCTATTAGCATAGTAATAATGTAATATATATCATAAATTAATAAATCCAGCCTTCTGATCATGGAGTCAAGATTCTCGTCTCTCTCTTCACCCCTGAGGAACCCTTGCAGCCCTGTAACAGTGGCTGACCTCTCTTGATTTGTATCTGTCTGATTTGTAGGACAAAGATGCCCGATGGGAGGTTTGGGTGCTGCAATGACAAGAAGGGAGCCCATCCATTGTGTGCTCATCCCCATTTCCAGCTCCGTGCCCTGCAGATGGGTCGGGTTGGAAGAGCCCCACGTCTTTGGTGTTGCTGTCCCGAGGAGCTCCTCTCCCACCTGATGGCACTGTTCTCCTTGCTTTCAGCTCCCAGCCCAGCTTCACTGCAGGGAGCCTCGGCTGCCTGGGCTGTCCTGGGCAGCAGCTCCAAAAAAACTGCTCCAAAGCAGCAGCGAGACACGGCAGGGCTGGAATTAGGGAGAGGAAAGCTGAAGAAATAAAATCCCAGGAATATTTAGGGCAGAAAAGGTAGCAAAATGATTCTGAGTTACAGAGGGCTTCCTCTCAACACAATTGTGTATGTATATATTTGTGTACCAATTGTATAACTGGTCCTTGTATAATTTCTGACATAAAGGCATAGCTACACATGACTATAGATTGACTACAGACATATAAATTTCCCTGCTGTCTACAGCCATCACAGATAAATTGGCACTGACAAAGATGGGTCTGGTAGATGCAGAAATGTTGCTACACCATTTAGTTCATTTGATACACATTCCCCTTCTGAGATATCTGGGTTTTTACACCTGAAACCCATGCCTTAGATGCCCAGAAGAGTGAAAACTGGCTTTATGTCTTTAAGGAGCTATGCTACAAGCACAAACATCTTGCTGACTTTTTAAAGAGTCAGATTTCTGAGTGCTTAGGTTCATCACAGCTCTGGCTGGTGATGGTAGCAAATGAGAAGGATTTTCCTACACAAATTGCAGAGATTTGATCACTGCACAGGTTAGGGACATGGGCTCAGGGGAATGTTCCCAGCTGTAACTTTGGAGCTTCACCACAGGGCCACAATTAAAAACTCAGGGTGGCCCAAAGACACTGCAATGTTTTAGAAATTAAATTCTGGACCTTGGAAAATCTGATCTTGATTGCAGGGGAGAACAGGTGTCCCCAGCAAAGTGTCTCTGCCTGGCAGGGTGATTTAAAAACATGGGCAGAGTTGGTTGAGTTCTCCAGAACAAAGCCTGGAAGTAATTCTTTTCTTATAAATCTGAAATGGGTCCCATACTTTAGGCATCACTCTCAAATTCTTGAGTAGAAAACTGGAGACAACACTGCCCTTCTTCAGATGTTTTCAGCATTCAGTGTCCATCCAGTGCTGAACTGAAAGCAGACTTTGTTCATGGTGTAACTGAAATCAGAGGGGATGAAACTTATCCTTGGTATTATACCAATTACATCAGCTTCAATTGGGGATGAATTTGCTCTGTCATGTCCAGTTAAAGAAAAAAAAAATTGTAAGGCAAAATAAAATCTATAGTAACAGTTATTTACCAGATAATTCAGTGCTATCCCATTCCTTTCAGTGTAAGGATATTCTTTCAAGGTTAGCCAGAACAGTGTATGGATATGCAAGAAATAATGATGCAGAAGCTGTCCATTTTTCTAATATGCACATTAAAATTTGGCTGCTGGGATAGATGCTAATGGAAATATTCTTGGCCCCAGCTTTTGCTTGATAGATTAATGTGATATTCATATACAAGGCAAATTGATAGAAATGCTCAAATTTATTGGAAAATGGAACTTCTACCCCAATGTAAGGACAAATGGAGGATATGCTTTGCAGTATGCATAACATTTGAATTTAATAAGGAAAAGTTTATTTGTATCCCAACCCTTATTGTGTCCTATACTGAGTTCAGGGTAGAATCTCTGGCTCAAAAAGATCCTAAGACAAGTTCTTCAGTCCTTGTTTTCCAGGGGAATGTTGCAGTTTTCAAGTTCACTGAAGATTTCATGTGTTCTTTCTGTTAGCTATTACTTCACATTTACCAGTATTGCCCAAATTCTATTCATAAAAAGAAAACTTGAAAAAATAAACAGAAACAGAATTTTTTCAAGTCTAATTGAAAAAAATTAAACATTAAGTATGTTAAATGTAACATATTTATGTTACATATCACTGAATTTGGATTCAATACTTTAAGAGTCTATAGTAGAATAAAATGTTTTAGATATTTCAGCACAAACAAAGGTAGCCTCAAAGGAAGAAGTCCATTATGCCTGAAGAGATAAAATGGTATTTGCAGATAGGATGCAGAATTAGTTTGTATGCAACCCAAAATACACAAACAAATGCCAGAGAGAGAGAGCCCAAGGCCCACAGCAGTGTGGCACATAACCCCATGGACTCTATATTTATCTAATTCAGATAATTCTGATTAACTGGTAGAGTGAGGATCTCTTTTGTGGCCTTTCTTCTGTAAATCCAGAAGGAACACTAAATCAACACATTCTATGACTTAGGAGCAACTTTAAGGGAAAGTTTCTTTCTCAGGCATTTGTTTTTTGGGTTCTTTTGGCAAGGCACATGTTCTTGTTTCAACCTGAAGCTGTTCTTGCTGGAATTTTTAGCATACCACATGCCAGCCAACTTCTCATATTGTGTCAGAAGGCCCAGAGCTGCAGAAAGTCTCTGTCCTCTCCTCAGTGTGAGTTAAATGCTGCACACCAGACAAGCATTTATTTCTGTGCTGGAAAAAGGTCAGGTGAAAGTTTATAAACAGAATCTACCTCAACAGTGAGACTGGAAAGAATGGCACATCCTTCCTGGAGCTGGCGTTTGCAGGTCCTCAAGCCTTCTCACTGCTTATCATCTGTAAGCCAAAATCACAGTTCTATGTGCCTGGTAATCTCTTCAGGGTGTGAGACAAAATTTGTGCTCCATACCCAAGAAATAGCTTTCCAGTGGCAAGCCAATGATTTATTATTATTCATTTGAAAAGAAAAACAACAAAACAGGTAGGTAAGTGAGGACAGAAAAAAGAAAAGGTTGCTTAGATTTTTATGTATTTTTTAACATTGATGATCTGTATTTTAATTTCTAAAACAATGCTTGAAATTGCCTAGTTTCCGCAAAAGCCCATCTTCATGACTGACATTCCTCCCTGTGATGCACCTGGCAGTTCCACAGTGATCAGCAGCTGTAGAAGAGCCTCCCCCTCTTGCAGGCTAAGACCTACCTGCTTTTATAACATTAAAGATGCAATTTTGCTCAGCTCTGCCAGGACTGTACATACAGACTCTTCTCTCAGGCACTGAGATGTTGACACACATCATGCACTGCCAAGGATGGAACACTGATTCTTTGGGTTACTGACTCAGCAATCTCTCTTGGCATGATCATGAATCACCTGGCTGGTTTCTTTGTGCCCCTCATGGCCATGGCTTGAGTCTAGCAGCAGAAATGTTTTATATTGTGTCTATCTCTGACCTCTCTGCTTTGGAAACAAAAAAACATGGATTTTTTTTAATAGTTTCTTGAAAAATATTTTGTCTTCTGAGACCAAGCATAAAAACTTTGCCATATGAAAGGATATATCACCAGGTACCCCAGTGTCTTATTTATCAAGAGTTCTAACATCATTATAGAGCAAGGACTCCATATCACCAGAGTTTCATACCTTCTCAACATTTCTCATAGGCATCTCCTCTAAGCACTGATTTTTCCCAGTCTTTGTAGCAGTCTTCTGAGTCCAGTTCCCACCAAGCCACTCTTTTATACCACTGTTCTTATTTGCTACAGGTGTGGCCTGTTAAGATCAGCCCTGCTCCTAATCTTCAGTAATTGGTCCAGCTGCAACTCTTTAGGGGATAAGATTACATTCTATACCACCTTCATTTACCCATACTTCATCCCCCTACAGTACCCAGCTGTCACCTAGGGCTGTTAATGCTCTTACATAAAGCAGATCTCAGGAGTAGCTTAAAAAAAAAAAAAGAAAAATAAAGGTCTGCGTGGAGTCATTTGACAAATTAGAAAGTGTGAGCCACATAAATGTTTATGAGATGTGCCTGTGCTTACAGCCAAGCTGTACAAATTGTCTTTATGATACCATTGACTGTGCAGAGCAAAGGGGACAGCTGCCTGTTCTCTAATGTCGTCCCTCCATCAGCAGGAGCCTCTCTTTGGGATGATTCAGTGTGTCCATGTTGTAATCCTTAGTGGCAGTGAGAGGTATTTACAACTTCCTAACCTCTAAATAAAGTACCAAAGTGTGGAGTATGGTCTCTGTGGGTTATTTATGCTTTGCAGACAGAGAAATGTCCTCCAGGAGAAAATTTAATACACCCAAGTCAACAGCTGAAAATTAGTGCATAAATAAAAATAATCTCAGGTCCCAAAAAGCTAAATCTCTGCTTTTGTTTTAGATAAAATTACAGGGTTTTTTTTCCAGGATCAAACTCTCTGCAGGGACAAGCCATATTTTTGGCTTGCTGTATCTGAGGGGACAGTATTCTTTGACCATACTTTTAAAATGTACAACCTATAGTCTGAGAAGCTATTTGCTTCTTATAATTTGGTGTGAATAATCAAGAAATTTGATCTTTTGGTTATATAAAATCATCACTGTTTTTTTAAAGGGGTAAAGATTTCAGGGGTAAAGATTGTTTTAAGATATTGCAGTGAACTAATTTGAAATGCAGAAAAGAGAGATATTTTGAACTGTTCTTTCCTCAGTATATGCTTGATCTGCTGAAGATACTCTGCTTTGGTAATGGATCATGTATTTGGTGCCTCGGCATAGTTGGAATTCTTCTAACATCTGATCCAGAGTGTTTGACCACAACAGAGGGAGAACCTTTCACAGGCACAAATACTCATAAATAATTACTAACTATGTTTTAATCTTTTGGCAGAGATAAGGATTGTCTAAAAATATGGGAATCATTAAAAGATGCCTTCATTTACAAGAACCCCTGTAATATCACACCAGAAGATTACCAGCCTTTGATGGAGCTGGCAAGTCACCCTATACCCTGCAACAAGGTAACACCAGTGCAGGGTGGGCTGTGGTGGGATGCCAGGTCTGGGCAGGGGGATCTCACCCTCTCACCCATCTCTCATTTAACTTTTGCACTTACTGCAACAGTCCTGCAGCTGCACCTTTGGGCCCAGTAACCCTGTCCATGTATCACTGGGAATCATCCCTGTGTAAGGCTTGCCTCAAGCCAGGGTCATCCCAGGGAGGTGACAGGGATGTCCCCCTTCCCTGAGCATGTGGCTCTCTGTAAGGAGCACGTCACCATGCTGAGAGAGGGACACTGCTTCCAGAAAGCTGTTATTCCATGTGCAGCTCAAAAGCAAACAACAAATTTGGGAACTATCCTATGAAAACTAGCAAAACCTTTCTTTCAAAATCCCTTAAACCATGTTTCTTTACACCAAAAAAAACCAAAAAACAAAAAACCACAAAACACCCAAAATATTCTGCAAACAACAGTGTTCAAATAAGAACTGACCTACTTAGGTGAACTTGCTGCATTTCAATAAAACTCCTTCATTGTCATTAACTTTCTGGTTTTCTCCAGAGCAGTTTTCTGGCCAGCTGTGGTATAGCTTATCACTCACCAGACATTGTACCTTATTTCACAGTCACTGTTTTGGAGCAAGACAAATGACCTCGTTCATCGTTATACAAAATCCAATCAGAATTTCCTCACCTTGGAGGACACCTTGCTGGGTTATATGGCTGATAGAGTTTCGTGGTGTGGAGACCCCTCTGCCCCAGGTAACCTACACCTGAACACAATCCTTTTCACATCCTTTTCAAGTGATTTAATTTAAAATCTTAACTGTCCAATATTTTGTAGTTCTGAAAATAACACCTATTTCTCAGGGTAAATTAAAAACCACAACTTTGGATGTTATTTTAACACCAAGTTGCTGCTTTACCTAATGGCCACATCTAGCCCCCTGTGCTTTGCTTGCTTCTACCCTGTGGTTCCTATGGGACAGACTGCAAAGCAGGAATGTTATTCAGGAAGGACCTGGCCACATCAGAGTGCTGGGGCAGTGTGCAGGTGCCTTGGGGTTACCACTGCTCACCTGACTCCTGGCTTGGGGCTTAATGCTAGGAACCTTTAGACTGGGCTGGGATTACTGAAAATGTTGGGCAAAGTTTAATTTTTCAGTGCAATCAGACCGTACCTGTCAATAGCCAGCCCGTTTCTCACATTTGGGATTGTGAGTTTTCCCTTCTCTGTTTTCTGAGAGTTATTTGTGATATGAGATCTGCAACTGTCTCCCTGAAAAGAGTGTGAGCAAACAGGAAGGCCTTTGAGCAGATGCAAATTCCTTCTCCTTTCAGAGCCCTCTCCCCATTCAGCCTTCTTGCTTTGACAGAAGGCAAATCTTTTTGCCCACAAAGCCACATAAGCCTTGCAAAAATATTCCCTCTAACTGTAAATGTATTTTATCTCAGGAATCAACTATGAATCTTGTCCAAAACGAAATGAATGTGAGAGCAACCCTGGCTCCGTGTTCTGGAAAATGGCCTCCAAGATGGTAAGATCTGGACTGCATCTCCCTGAATCCAAAAGCAAGGAAAGGCACTAAGTTCCTGACAATGCCAAGAAATATGATTTTGCAGATCTTGACTTTAAAGGTGGAATAGTAGAAGTTGACAAAAGCTTTAGTTCCAGGTGTTAAAAATCATGGTGTAGGATTCCAAGGTCCCATATTTATGTACAACATTTGATGCCCTTGTAGTTCAGGCATTCTTTTTGTGGACAGAGGCTGAGTGTCAGTGTCTGGAATAACCCTTGGCAGAGACCTGGAGCTCTGCAAGCAATACAGTTATAGCAATCACCTTAATTAAATCACAGAACGTCAGTTGCTACAGTAAAATCTATTTTAGCCTGCCAATGTGGAAAACAGCACCCAGATTGGCACAGACATTTTCCAAGAGGCCGAGAATCCCCTTGCACTTCCCAGCATAAAGCTGAAGAGCACATCCTCCCACATCAGGGCCTGGCAAGGCTCCTGTGATGTCCCCACCCACAGACACATCCAACTCCCATCCCAGGAATGAGATCCTGCTGGTCCCAGCTAAGCACTTAGCCTGCCTTTGTTGAGTCAGCACTGTGCAGGAACAAACTGCCAGAGAAACACCTGATGTCCTGGGTTACTTTAATTTTACCTGTCTCTCAAGATTTCACCCTTGGTATGATTATCAGCAGATGACTACGCAGGTGGAAAACCAGCATTCCCGTATGCTCCAGTTCTCTTGTGTGTAAGAAAAAGTCTACTCATCATATAAAAAAAAAAGATGTTTTGTGAGTAAACTAGGAGTGAAAATGGTTGAGTTCCAGTATCTGTGAGAGATAGAACCACATACAGACCCAGGTTTGCTCAGCTGCAGGCTTCCTTGCCATGTAAATTCAAGATCTACTAAAACTCATGCTAAATACATTTGAAAGTTACACATAATGAAACTTCCTGAAACTTTTCAGCTCTCAAGATTTGAATTTGAGCCACATTGTTTATGAGGACATGAAAGATTTGATAAGTATAGTCACCTGCATTAAGCTTCTTAAAAATTCTTTGCCTTACCAATGGTGTATGTATTTAGCACAGGTACTTTATGGACCTTAGTAGTCTTTAAATATGGGCATGGGTTTGAAAGAATAAAAAAGCAGTGATTACATGATCCAGTATATTAAAAATCAAGTTAAAAAAACCTCAGTGATAATTTTAAAACATCAGGAGAGAAAAATCCCAAGCCACAAAAGAACACAGAGCATGAGTCACAAGGAAACAAGTATGTGGTGGTCTGTTTGTCCTTAAACTGGGGATACCTCTGCTCTGGCTTCTCCTTGCTTTCTGAGCTAAAGCAGTCTGAGGATTGCTGTGAGTTCCTACAGACAGCTGCAGCTGCAGGGGCTCTGGAAAGCCCTGTAAAAACTGAAACCAGACAAGCTGCTGCACCAGCCCCATGCACCCTGAGACTGCCCGTTCATGGCTGTCTAATGGGGCTTTGTCACAGTTTTGCCATAGCCTTCAGAGACTTTTTTTTTTTTGGCACTGAAATGTTCTGCAAAGACATTGCCCAGATCCTGTGCTTGTGTTAGGCAGTTCTGAGGACATCAGTGAATTCTACCAGCCCCAAGCCTGCCATGCACTGCCTGTAGTGTCAGAGTGTAATGTCCCTTGGTCTGGTTCAGTTTGCAGAAGCAGCTTGTGGTGTGGTTCAAGTGATGCTCAATGGATCAGTGGAAGCTGGAGCTTTCAGGAGCAGCAGGTACTCACCCAACACAAAACCATTCATGCTCCTGTGGGGCTGCATGTGCCTGCCTGCCTGCCTGGGAGTCCCAGTGCAGAAGGGTTTTGGTGAACTCACCCCTGGGTGTTGTAAAGCTGATTCTTTTCACTCCTTCTGTTCAGAGACTGTGACTGAAATCCTCCAGAGGATGTGGGGGTATGCAGGATGCTCTTACTTCTTATTTAATTATTACAGTTTCTTTGATTTTAGTTCACTAGACTTGGCTACCTGGCTGGAAGTGCAGTCATGAATAATTTCAAAAGATGAAGAATATTCTTTCTGGGGGGACAGCCATGGTCACTTCCCTAGCACCAAACCAATAGCCAGGAAACTGAACGGGAGAAGAGGCACTAAAGATGCCAAAACTTCATCTTGTATCTGTCTGTAGGCAGTTTCAAAAGCTCCCCTGAAAGTGAAATAAGAATGGGGAGACAACATTTGACCATAAGGAAATTAGTCTGTGACAATCCATTGGCAAGATAATGTTCTCTCACAGGGTGGAACAGCAGCACTAATAAGCACTGGTGTTTGGGGAGGATACTCTCTACACCTTTCTGAGATAACTAAGAGAGTTTTGCTGTTTCATGTTCCATTCTCATTTTTAGCATCTTTGGAAGCATTGAGATCTTTAACCTGGATCCAGATAAAGTCACTGAAGTGCACATTTGGCTCATGCAGAACATTGGTGGTCCTCAAAGGTAAGGCACAGTGATGAGCACTGTGGGGAAGGCACAGGGCACAGCTCAGGTCTGGCAGCAACACTGTCTTAAACTCATGAAATCTGCTTTACACTCACCTTCTAGGAGCTTACTTTGCAGGAAAAACAACATTTGTACTGTTGTTTCCTCTAGTATTTTTGTAGGTACTGCTGAACAGTTACAGGTAAAACACAATGAAATTTTCCTTGCTTTCAAGAGGTCCCATGACCTTTAAGTTCCTTTCAGCTCCACTGAGGTCTGCAGACCTTTGCTATGGGTGCAGCACTGAAGTCAGAGACCAGGCTATGTCTGCAAGGATAAGCATGGATGTGTTTGTTCACAGGAGCAGTATAATTATGCTCAGTCATTTTTGAATGACAGATCAGGTTGTGGAGTCTCCATCTATGGACATACACAAAACCTAACTGGGACCTGAGCAACCTTTTTCCAGCTCATATTGGTTTGATATCAAGCAGTCTCCTCTTACCTAAATAATTCTGTGATTTTTAATAACAAATCTGTAGTTGAAATGCTTACCATGGAATTACTGATACCAGAACAGCAACCTCAAAGCACATCTGAGCCTTTCTGAGTGATGTTTTTCATCCCATTCAGATTCATTTGCAGATCTACCACATTTGAAACACTAAGCATGAGGCTCTGTGCCTTTGACCCCTCCTTTCAGAGCCAGTTCTGTGGCCATAATGCCCTGCCCAGTTTTTCCCATTCTTAATGATGTCCACGACAGAAAGAGCAGCTGTGGTGCCATGGGTCAGGAGGGAGGCTGTGATGGTGCAGTGCAGCTCAGGAAGGAGTGAGGCCCCTGCTCAGCCTGCCTCACTCTCTGACTCAGCTCCAGCTCCTGTTGCAGCCCCTCCCTCAGCCCAGGCACCCAGAGGTGTCCCCTGTGCACCTGAGCTGGCACCCCTGCCCTGGTTCATGGTGTGCCTCTGTGCTGGGGCCAGCGCACCAGCCTTGGTCTTGTGCTCCTTTACATAAAGGTTTGCTGGAGAAAAGGAAATTGAATAATCTTTACATCAGTGTCCCCTCACATGGCACTGGATCCTTTGTTCCATGATTTCTCAGCATCAGATATTTCTGCTGTGCTCCCCTCAGCAGCTCACACAAGACAGTGCCCTGCCAGCCCCCTTGCTGGACACATCCTCCTCCTCCTCCTGCGACAAGTTCATAGCAATTTCCTTTTTATGTTCTACTTGCTGCTAAGGAGAGAGTGGCGGGTAGCCCCAATAGTGTGCACTCCTTGTATCTTCTGATTGTATTCCATGTTGAATCACTGATAACTTGTCAAGTCTAGTGAACAAAGAAGAGCTGGCAGTGCTCTCTGCTAATGTCATATGTTAGGAACTGGATTTGTCTCCAGTAGTAGAAGTGAGTCCTATACTCTGGATGAGGAGATGATTTTTACCTTGAGGTAACAAGGCTTTTGCTGTGTCTCTGTCTGTGCCTATGACATTTGTCAAACCTCTCACTGCAGCTTTGGGGCCCTTGGGCTATTTAATTAAATTAAACATAGAGATCTTGAAGGTATGAGAGTGCTACCTGCTTCTTGAAACCTTTATCTGGATGGGAAAGAAATACACAAGTTAGGGTTCCTACCAATGCAAAAGTGGTTGAAACATTCCCTTTCCAAAACAGAGCAGCTGCAGCAGCTGTAAACTGAGTCAGACATACAGGAGGTGCTCAGAGCCTGCTTCATCCCCTGCTTTCTGTCAGTTTCCTCCTATCTCACTTCCTACCTGGCTTTCGTGGTTGGCCTTTTTTCACCACACAGAGGACTTGACCCTTCTGCCCTTGGACAGATTTAGCAAGCCTTGCATTGTGCTGCTGTGGAAGCACCAGCAGCAGTGGAGCAGTTCTGGAGCCCCCTGAACTGGGAATGGGCCGGAGTGCTGTCCCACAGGTGTCCCCCTGCACAAAGCTCTCATGGAGATGCACAGCTGGACATCACATGGACATCACAGAGCCTCTACCAGCAAGGGCCAATGGCAGCCAAAGCTCCACAACCCCAATGGCTTCCCAGCACATTGGCAAACAAGCTTCTAAAGCATCTTACCTATAATAAAGCTGTGCCATAGTGTGGAATTTAGGTGAACATTTTGTACACACAAGGAACACAGGTAACTGAAGTCTTGTCTCCACAGTGAATCCTGCTCAGGTCAGTCCATTCAGAGGTTAATAAACATTCTAGAAGAACGAAACTTTAAGATCATCTGTGAAGACAATTACAGGTAATTATCCACTCTTATTGGTGATGACTTTGCTAACGTAAAGCTAATATTGCGGGTTTACAGCAGGCTAGAGCAGACCTCCCCCTCACTGCCATGACATCCCTCCAGTGGGGCTGGGTCCTTCTCAGGGGCTGCAGCCCTGGGGCTGGCTGGGGCTGGGGCTTGCTCTCCTCCCATTGAGCAGGTTCAGTTGTTTTCAGGAAGGGACCAGTCCAGCAATCCAGCCACCAGATTTTCTTCTGACTGGGCTTTTACCTAAAACACTCTGAACCAAACAGGCAGCTTTCCTCTTGCTGCATACAGATAGCACAGGGTGCCAAGGGTGGTCCTTACTTCCTTCACCATGGTTTGAGCATGCTTCCTGTCCTGCTGCTTTGTCAGAGAGTGAGGCATGAGACATGATAAGCATTGCTAATTACTGTAATTTACCATTGTCAGGAGCAAAAAAGAGAAGTCTGTGAAACAGCAGCCCAAGTCCTGACTTGCCTGAAATCTCCATCTTCCTGCTGAGGAAATACAAAAGCCACAGACCCTTTATCCCTAGGTGTGGGTTCAGAGACCTACACATTGAGCAAAATTTTTCTTTAGAGACATTAGAAAAGTGGCAAACATTCAATATTGCTCATATCTTATCTGTCAGGAAGAGCTTTTCAGTGTCAAGGACTCATACTTGGATAAGAACATTTCCAAAGTAAACAAAGATTTCTATGAAATTCTGGGTTTGTGACAATAGTTGAAGTATGGAAAAATTGGTCTGCAAAGGGGACAAATGATAGGTCTTTAAATCTGAAGGCAGAGCCATATATTTCTGTCTGGGTACTGCTGAACCTGATTAATGGGTGCTCTGCACTTTGTGAAAAAATTATCTCTGGTGTGGAGCATAAATCTGCCAAATTGTGTGCTTACTTTCTCTTTGGGTAAATGGAACCCTAACTAATACTCCCAGGACCTGTAAATAGGTACAGATTATTTCAGCCTAGGATGAATTAAGCTATGGGGCAAGGCAGGGAGGGGAAATATATCACAGCTTAGACCCCTGGTGGCCTAGCCCAGGGAGGAACCTGACACTCATTGCTGTGTCTCACAGCTGAAGGTAATGTGACAAGTAGGGCTTTTTGTCAAAGTTCAACTAACACATATATAAACAACTGGGTTGCACAACACAGACAATTAATTTTACTATTTTATATGCAGAATAACAATAAAATAAGAGATGTACAGGTAAAGCCAAAGTTCAGGATAGACTGTGTAAGTCTATTGCAAACAGAACCGTGTGGGTCTGTGTCAACTGAGCATCTGCCTTTTCATGCCATGTAGCAACTGCTGCTGGTTATTTTATCTGGCTTTTGTCCATCTCAACAGTATCTTTCAGAAGTGACTCTTAAACTGGATTCACTGGATGCATTAGAAAAAAATCTCATCATATCTGACATTCGCAGCAACAGCTGTCTGCTGTGGCAGTGGGGTTTACCAGTGAGTAACACAGATGGTGAACTTCAGCATGGTAGGAATTCCACAATTCCACAATCTGTGCAAGAGATCTTTCTTCGTTTTCGTAATTATTTTTTATTTTGCAGAATAGCTGTGAGGTCAGTTCCTACTTTGGTTTGTACTGATTTGCCCTTGTCCCTAAAAACACCAAAGTTATCTTTCTGCAGCAAGATTAAAAAGAATTACCCTAAGAAAATCCATCTGCTTAATAAGCATGGATGTGACATGTGCTTTGACTTTCACATTGCATTCAGTAACTGTGAAGTAATTCTGTTGTACTTGCAAATTGATTATTAAATATTTGGGTTTTTTGTGTCTTATTTCAGGCCTGTTCAGCTCCTTCAGTGTGTGCACAACCCAGACCACACAGACTGCAGGCTTTGCACCAACAGCTCAGCAATTCCCTGAAGCAGAGTTCTCTGTGCCACTGAAGAATTCCCTGACTTGTGTGCAAAGCTGGAGAGGATGTGGCTGCATAGCTGAGAGTGATAACAGTAGCATGGTGTGTGCTGAGTGCATAACCAGAAATCCTTGCTGTGATACTAACAGCCAGATAGCAGGAGATGGTACCTGAGCTGTGATGCTGTACACACACACACAAACACACAAACACTGTTTCAGATGGTCAGCAATTGAGGGCAGATGCTTTGCCCTGGTTTGCTCCCCTCTGTACAGCTTGCCACTGGCACAGAGCAGGGATTCCCTGGGACATGCACAGAGAAGAAAGAGACTTTCCAGGATAGGCAGGACTTGCCTAGATCAGTGCTCATCTTCCTTCCTGCTGAAAGGTTAAGCAGGAAATGACCAGGGCATGCTACATTTTCCCTGCATCCCAGTGCAAATTTTCCCAGAGGGGAATGTTGCCCGTTGGCACATGGTATAAACTGGGGCTTTCCCAGGTACTGTGACACTTCTGACCAGGTAAAGCAAGCAATGGAATAGGCACAGCAGTTCTTGCCTTTTAATGGGTATCACAGTAAGCAGCTGGAGGGAAGACAGCTGAGCTGAGCTAAGAAAAAACCAGAACCTGCTCAGAGGGTTGCCTGCACCTGTAAAAACTGCTTAGTATGCAGCTGGGAGAGAAAATAGTGAGGCTGACTCAGATAGCTCCATTAAAATCCTACTGGATACACCATTGCTGGTCAGATTACATTTTGTTCTTAACATAGCAGTAAACAGCAGCCTTCCAACTTTCATAAAAGGTCCCTCAGGCCACAGCTTGGCCATGCACTGGAATAGAAACAAACATCAAATGGTTGCCACAATAAGGAGTCTCTCTTGACCTCAGTTTCTGCAGTGAAAGGTGATGCCTTGGGGTGTAGAATTCACAAGCACTGACGTGCTGTGGTGCACTGAAACAGCAGCTTTCAGTGATTTCCTTTGATTTCTATTTTAGCAGTCTCAAGTGCAGTGTTTATAGCAAAGCAAGTGTCTGAGGCCAGCTTTGGCCACGGCTGCAGTGCCATTGACAGCAAGAGAGCAGAGCAGGCTTTGCTGCAGACACACTCCCAGGTACTGAGGTGACAGATGTACTCCTAGTGCTGAGGTGACAGTGTGAGCAGCAGCTGGGAGTGCTGAGGTGACAGTGTGAGCAGCAGCTGCCAAACCTGCAGGCACACTGGGCTTTCCAGGGTCCCACAGGGAGAAGGTTTTACTGCCACAAATTTTAGTGACTGCCCAGAGTGCAAAGCATTGTTATGGAACTGCACAAGCCGGTGTGATTCTGAGCATCTCTAGATAAGGCTCATCTCTTCAATAGCAATAGAAGCCTGCACTGAGCCTGGCTGGACCAACCCAAGACCTCACTTGTAATGTTTACATTAAGTGAAATGTATTTTTATTTGCAAGATGTTATGTAACTTCTTAGACGAATCAACGTAGACACAAACCAATACTTTCAAATAGGATATTTCTGACTATCAGTTACAAGTTTGTCTTCATGCTCACTTTTGTACTTCTGTTGCAATATATTGACTGTAAAATTAAGATCTCTAATAAAATTGCTGATGAGAAATGTTCTTAATTCAGTTTGACATTGTACAGAACCTGAGAAAGTTAAGAAAGAAAGATTCTCAGAAGACCAAAATAGGGCACTTCCTAAAAACAACTCAGAAATCTGTTCAAGGTATGAAACACAACATGCAACCACCCAGGGGAGCAGAGAAACAGAGCACATCCTCCCCAGCCCGTGTTCTCCATCTGATACAGAGAAGTCATTGCCTTTGTAGGTGGCTGGAAGTGAAGCATCCTGAGTCCTTATCTTGAGCATAGATTGTTCTTGGCCATAACAGTGGAGAAAGATGATTGTTTTTGTCAGTAGTGATGTAGTAAGATGGTAAGAAGCCAACTGTGCTTTTGGAAGCTGAGGTGCACAATTAATATGGGCAACTGTGCTGAGGTAAGTGATGGCTTTGAAATGCAGGTGGCTGGCAAGTCTGGGCTGCCTGGATCACATACACGGCAGAACACGAGCCAGCTCATTTCCAACAAACACTTTTATCATGCATGATCACACATCTGAAATGCTGTGCAGACATGCCCTACCAGAAAAGTACACTTGCAAATCCTATTGCTTTGCTAAAGACTTATCAAGCAAAAAACCCTTCCAAACAAATACAAAGTGTTCCAAATCCACAGAAAATAAATAAAAAGAAAAATAACCATGCATTTTTTCCCCACTCTCTGGAATAAATGCTTCTTAATATGGTTTGGGAAAGGTTGGGTTTTGAAAATATGTTTTTAGTCTGAAAAAACTAACTCAACTCTCATAATTTGCTTAAGGTAAATAGGCTGGCTTGTGCCTCACCCCACATCAAACACTGCTACAGTGCAGCCCAGGAACACAAGAGGAATCTGTGTGATAAGGTGATATCAATGTTATCACTCCCAGAACCACAGAGAGCTGCAAAAGCCACTCTCTGACCCTGTCACAACAGCACTGCTGCTCCCCTGGTCTTTGGTGCACTTCACCTGACCAGAGCAAGCAATAAACTTATTAGGAAACAAATGAAATACAGAAAGATCTGTTCTTTTTGCAACCAGCACTTGCCCTCATGTTTGATTTCATGTAATATGGAATTGTTTAGGTTGGGAGGGGCCCTAAAGTTCACATAGTTCCACCCCCTCTCATGGGCAGGAACACTTTTCACCAGACCAGCTTGCTCAAAGCCCCATTCAGCCTGGCCTAAGCACTGCAATAGGGGGGGAAAAATCTTTGAGAGGGTTTTGATTTGTTTATCTGTGTATTGGCAGCACATTGTGCAGTGGGTCTGGGTCCCCCTGGGCTCTGGCAACAGGGGAGTGGTTTTGGATGGAACCTGATGTCATGGCAGCACTGCAGTGTCCATCAGTATGAGGCTGAAATTTAGGAGTTTTTGGGCTACCCTTCATGCAGGTACCTGGGAAGACTCCCTGATACTCAAAGCAGTGACCCTCAGACATTGTCTTGCATAAGAGAGCTCAGTAGAAAGAAGAGAAAAATGAGATCAGCAAGTGTTCAGGTAGGAAACCTGGTGGACAGGCTGAATCTCAGAAACTTTCTCTTAACAGCAATATCATTTACAGGCTTAAAATGACACTTGAATGGAATAAGTGATCCTTCCTATTAAATAACTGATCCTTCCTATTAAATAACTTGAAAGGAGCAATAGCAGATTCAAATAAAATTTTTACCTGGAAAATATGGAGACTGGTGAAAAGATTAAAAACAAGTAGCATGTATGAGTAGTTATCCCTCTGCTTTGCCAGCAAAAATTTCATTAAATTCCTGATGAAACAAGAAAGGCAAACAGTCTGGGATAATACACTTTTCCTTGCTTAGAAAAGAAAAAAGATCTATCTAATGAAAAAAAAAAAAGTTGCTTAGTTTGAAGAGCATGTTTATTTTGAGCACTGCACTGGGGAGCAGTGGAGGGCAGCTGCCTGCTTGCTGTTCCTCCTCTCCTGTGGGGCAGTGATTGCCCAAATCAGAATAGCCAGGAAGCAAACAGAGCAGCATGTGCTGCACACCAGCATATTCCACAGCAATACAGCTGCTTTACCCCCAGTTCACTTAATTACAGGATTTGGGCATGCATGGAGGGAGAATAGAGCAGAGAGGGTTAAAATCCATGCTAAATATTTTAGATAGGGTTTCTATCACTTAAGATCAGTCACCTGATTGCACAGACTCCCTGTATAAACAAAAGGACAAACCAGGCACCTCCTGAGAGCGCCCATCGTGCTCTGCAGCAGGGAGGGCAGCACAGAGGGGATGATGTGCACTCCAACACAGGATCCTTGTCTCTCTCCACTCCCTGTGAAAGTTTCCTAGATTATCAGATCAAATTCATAAAATAACCTTCCGGGTGCTTAAAGCTGCATAAAATTAGCCTCAAATATATTTCCCTGTGAGAAACATTATAAAGCAGGAAAGGACATCTAAGGATCTTCTCAAATGCAGCAGATAAAAGGCTTTTGCAAAATATTTAAAAATTATAATTTCACAATCTATTTTCTGAGTATCTAAAGCCACAGTCCTAAAATTTGCTGATGATTTCAGGAACTGACTGTGTGATAATAAAGTCTTCTGAGCATATCATATGCAGCCAATTAGAAAATCTTCATTCTGCTAGAGAAAAATAATTTATTAATCATCTGTTCACTCTAGGTCATATCTTGTTTTCTGTTTGTTTCTGTTGCCTGAATTTCCAAGACTGAGATCACATTTGCTTGTTTTATGGCTTTCTTTTTCTTCATATGCCATTCTTGCTTAGATTTTTGGCCTTCCCCCCCCCCCCCATTGTAGTTACAGGAGCGCAGCCAAAATTGCCTGATGGAAATGCCATGGAAAAAATCTTACCATTTCTTTCCTATGGCCTAGTGGAGTAAAAATGCAACAGGTGTAAATTACATTTACACCTTAAATATCTTAAAGGGTACCTTAAAATGGGGAGTGGGGGGGGTGTTTCTTGATGAATCTATAAATTAGTCAACACAGGAGAGTGACAATAATGGTTTGCACAGGACTGGGAAACTCTGGGGGAAAACATTTTTCCATTCTTACTCTTTTAGGAATACTAATCAAATCCGTAGCTCTCCATTGCAATTGGACCTGGGACCTCTGCAGCTGAGTTCTGAACCCTCAGGGAATGGACAAGAGGCCTCCTGTGTGAAGGCATCAGCAAAGTTGTGATCCCTGTGGGTCAGACACAGAGGGCTGTGTGACTCACTGAACGGGAGCCACACTGGCATGGGTGATGGACTTCCTGATGGTGAGACCCTACACAGAGCACAGCTCTGTGCTCTAATAGCCTGCATCCAGCCCCAGGTGACCAGAAGGAGCCAGCTTTCCCTCCCTGCAGCTGCCTTTCAACAACATCAGTTTGTGCTTGGGTTACAGCAGGGAAACATTAAGTGGTCTAGACAGAGGTAAATTACAGAAACAAACACAGTTGTAATTCAGATTACTCATTCCCTCTGTTAAAATGGTACTAAAAATAGGAAGCAGGAAGACAGTTACAGTGTCCATATTTTTTTATGTTCCAAATTTTCTTGAGTGATATCAAACACTGTTAATAGGTGATACATGGGGCTGCTTCATGAGAAGAAGTAAA